CCCCTATGCCATGTTCCTTATCCCTGTGACCATCTACCAACTACTGATTTGTACTTCTTTAACTCTTTACCTTTTTTTCTCCCAGTCCCCCCACCCCTCTCCCCTCTGGCCATCACCAGACTGTCCTATTTGTGAGTCAGTTTTCAATTAGTTTGTTCTTTCTGCTCCTTAGATTCTGCATATAAGTGAAATCATATGGTATTTATCTTTCTCTGACTTATTTCACTCAGCTTAAGAACCTCTATATGTCCATCCATGTTGTTACAAACAGCGCGATTTTTTTTATGGCTGAGTAATATTCCATTGTACATATGAACCATAACTTCTTTAACTAATTGTCTGCTGATGCACATTTAGGTTGCTTTCATATCTTGGCTATTGTAAATAGTACTGCCATGAACATAGGGGTGCATACATAGATCTTCACGAATTGTTTTGGTTTTCTTTGGATAAATACCCAGAAGTGCAATTGCTGAGTCAAAAGGTAGGTCCATTTTTAATTTTTTGAGGCACCTCCACACTGTTTTCTAGAGTGGCTGTACCAATTTGCAATCCCACCAATGGTGTATGACGGTTCCCTTTTCTCCACATCCTCTCCAACACTTGTTCTTTGATTTGATGAGAGCCATTCTGACAGGTGTGAGGTGTCATCTTGTTGTGGTTTTAATTTGCATTTCTCTGATTATTAGTGACCCTGAGCATCTTTTCATATGTCTATTGACTATCTGTATCTCCTCTTTAGAGAAATATCTATTCAGGTCTTCTGCTCATTTTTTAATTGGACTGTTTGCTTTTTATTGTTGTTGAGTTGTATGAGTTCTTTATATATTTTGGGTATTAACCTCTTATCAGATGCACTACTGGTTTTATTATCTCTTAATAAAAGCTCTTGTGAAAGTCTCAAATAATTTGGTGACTATAGAAAGCTGAGCCAAAGGAATTATTAGAAAAAGGAAAATAGTCTTTTAAAAAGTTATGGCCCACAAATATCATATGATTCTAGTTATATGAATGAGGCACCCAGAGTAGTCAAATTCATAGAGACAGAAAAGTATAATGGTGGTTGCCCGGGGCTGGGGAGACACTGTTTAATGGGGGCAGATTTTCAGGTTGCAAAATGAAAAGGGTTCTGGAGATGAATGGTGTTGATGACAACAATGTGAATGTACTAGTGCCAAAGAACTGTACACTTAACATGGTTACAATGGTAAATTTAAGCTAAACATATTTACTGCAATTTAAAAAAAGAAAGTTATGACCCACTGTATTATTATTTCCTATAATTCTCAGTATTTCATGTTACAGAATGATCAGGTTCAAAAAATCATTCAAGATGTACTACTATATTTATTTCAATAATTACATCTATGTTTAGGCACAGAAACCTATTCTTCGTCACATAACGAAGTCTGGAATCAGCGATGATTTTATTCATATGGTTGATTGAAAAAAAAAAAAAAAAAGTAAAATTAACATAATCATACCACCATAACAAGGTAACTGGTACTTTGCAGTCTTGAAATATATACATAGTAAGACACATCTCTGTATCCTGTTTTTGTGAGATATAGTTGGCTCATCACTTTCAAATATTTCAAAAGGTAGTTGCAAGGATTAAGCATATTCATTTATGTAAAGTATCTGGAACACAGTAAGTGCTTAATAAATATTACCTATTATTATATCAGATATTATTAGCTTATGAAAATTTAACAGATATTGTTGCCCAGTGAGATGTTAATATATGTTTTAGTCTTACGGGACACATTTAAAAAAATGTATTGGGAATTTTGAGTCTTTTAGTGGGATTTTTATCACTATTTTAAAGACTGCATATATCTCAAAGCACCTGTTAGACATCAAAAAATCTTTCTGGCTTTCTGAGATAAGGTATGTTTTAATGACATTTATAAGGAAGAAATAGATATTAAGGAGAAAAAACTGCACTTGTCCAAGCAAGTTTATAGTGATAAGCCTCTTGTTACCACGTCATTACTAGAAACACCAAATAGAAGATATTAAAAAGTAGTATGTCATTACTCGGTTTTCTTGTAAGAAACTTAGAAGTCTGAAAAAAGATACTGAGAAGTTGCTCTGCTCCACAAATTGTTTCAGACTTTTAGGACCAAGATGAACAAATTTTATTCTAATATACTATAATATCTCAGGTATTAACTGGAAGAAGGGGGCACTGTACATAAAACAATCCAGGGAATTCAAGTAAAAAGCCAGCAAACTTTGAAACAGAAGTTAAACATTAAAAATGCCAATTTTTCTCACTTTTGACTGACTTAAAAAGAAGGTACATGGTTGGAAAGTCTGACTTTTGAAAATATGTTTATTTTTACTAATACTTTAGAAAATGTGATATTTTAGGAGATAATATCTTTTTTGGAAAAGCATCATTTATTGGACGTTTAAAAATTCCCTTACCTTTGTTTTCTTTTAAATTTCAAATAAATTTAACTGTATTCAAGTGACGTATTACGTTCGCCCCCTCCTTCCGCCCACCCACTACCCGGGCTGCATAAACACATTTGGAATGATGTCTGCACTGAATGTTAATGCAAATTTTACAGCAGTACAATTTAGGGTGATTTGCTTTCTTCTTTGTATTTTGTACGCACTGCTTATTATTTTTAGAAAAAAGGCAAAGTTAATACTGTACAGACCTCTTAAAAGTTGGCATATATCCAACACGGAGGACAGAATTCAACGTTATGGTTTCAAAACTCAAGTTTTCTCTGGATATTTGTAATGGGCCTATACCTATTTACTCTTCATTTCTAAAACTTTCTAATTCCATTTCAAATATGCTCTGTGGACAATTCCTCTAAAGTAAGAAGCAAAGATCTATGAGAACAGAAAATGTGATTAAAGTGGTATCTCAAATATATTAGTTCAGCATTAAATTCTAAATATCCCCTTCATTTTAAGCAAATAAGAAAGAATAAGAAGTCTCTTTGATTATCAAAAAACGGTTCACCTTCTCCTTTGGGAGATAAGAGACTGGACAAATATTTAAAGCTACAGAAAAGAAAGTGATTAGGCATCCTAAATTACTACTTGTCCATATTTAAAAGGACAGAAAAATACACCATTTCCTTTACTCACTTTTGTGATAGTTTTTAAGATGGCAAGACGATCTGCTGGGGGTGGCAAACCCACAAAGAGGGTTTTGTCCAGGCGGCCTGGGCGCAGGATTGCAGGGTCAATGATATCTGAAGAAGAAAGGAAAAAGTCCTAAATAAAATAAAATCTTTTCAAAAATATAATTAACATGAGATGGGAAGAGTACATTTTTTAAAAGAAAAAAGACAAATTAATACTTTACTGAAATGAAATGCTTCAGTTCGTCAAAATACATCCTTGAGAGCAAAATGTCTACCCCCACCTTTCTGCCCCAAACCTGCTTTCCTCCCAGATTCTCTATCTGAGATAATGACCCCAAATGCCAAGCAGGTTTCTCCCACCTCTCTAACTGCAGAGCCTTAGATTCTATCAATTCTATCAAGTCTGCCTCCCATGACCTCGATCCTCAGTCAAGGCCAAATATAACTTCCTTACGATGCTGCCAGGGCTACTTCCTAAGATGCACACACCCAGCTCTCTCGACCCCTGCTCCCCGGTGCAGAATGAAGCCCAACGCTGCCAATACAACATAGAGCGTTGTGTGACTGGCCTAAGGGTCATCTGACTCTCCAGGGCGAAGAGTCTCAAACATTCTGGTGTCAGGGAACCTTTATGCTTTAAAAAATTACTGAGGACCCCTTTTAACCTTTCTCTCTTGCCCTTCCCTTACCCGCTTTATTCCTAGGCAGCCACCGATCTGTTCTGTCACTGCAGATTAGTGTGCATTTAACAGAACTTTATATAAGTGAAATTATAAAGTATGTACTCTGTCTGCTTTTACTCAACACAGTTATTTTGAGATTCCCCTAAGTTACGATGTGTATTAAGTAGTACTTAATACTTTTTTATTGCTAAGTAGGATTCCATAGTATGGCTATCACACGATTTGTTTTTCCATTCTTCTGTGATAAACATTTGGCTGTTTTCACTTTTGGCCTACTACAAACAAAGCTGCAATAACACTCACGTATGAGTCTTTGTGTAGGCTTTCATTTCTCTTTGGTAAATACCGAACTGTGGGATGCAAAGTAGTACGGCAATATCGCACTGTAGGAATATGCTTAACTTTCAAAAATCGAAAAACTGTTTCCAAACTAGTTCCACTTTACAGTCTAACCAGCAGTGTGTGGGTTCCAGTTCCTCTATGTCCATGCCAGTGTTCGGTACAGCCATTTTAATTTTAGTCATTTTAAGCTTTGTAGTGGTATCTCTTTGTGGCTTTAATTTGCATTTCCTTAATGACTAATGATGTTGAGCACCTTTTCATGTGTTTATTTGCCACCTGTATACTTTCTATGGTGAAGTGTCTATATAAATCTTTTGCCCATTTTAATGGGTTTTTCTTATTGTTGAGTTTTGAGAGTTCATTATATAGTCTGGATATATATCCTTTATCAGATATGTACTTTGCAAATATTTTCTCCCAGCCTGTAGTTTGTCTCTGAATTCTTAGTGGCACCTTTTGAAGAGCAGTTCAATTTAATCATTCACTCCCTAACAGTGTGCTTTTGGTGTCATATCTAAGAAATCTTTCCTTAATCCAAGGTAAAAAATTGTTCTGTGTTTTCTTTCAGGAGTTTTATAGCTTTCAGTTTTCACTGGTCTCTGATCCATTTTGAGTTAACTTCTGCATGTGCTAAGAGGTATGGATTAAAGTTCGTATTTCTTGCATACGGATATCTGTTCCACCACTATATGCTGACAAGGCTCTCCTTTCTTCACTGCATTGCCTTTGTGCTTTATAAAAAAATCAATTGTCCAGATATTTGTGGGAATATTTTTAGATTCTATTATATTCTAATGATCTATATGTCTATGTCTATGACAATACCATTCTGTGGAAATATCTTTTATCTTAAATATACAAATATAGACCTTAAAGCCAAATATGCATGCCCTCAAATAAAGCCCGATGAAAACAATCCTGATTTTAATCAGAAAGCATTCTTAGTTTAGGACTTTTATAATTAATATCTCTAGCTAAAAAACATCAAATTTAGTATTACAAAGATTATTATTTTAAGAAGTTATTTTCTCATTTTATTTATAGTAAACAGCATCCTGAGCACTTTTTTAGTATTAGATCATTTAAATTATGCTCCACCAAAAGCTCTTACAAAATTCTATGTAATACATCACTTCTCAAAGAAGATCTAATAGTATTGTCTAGAACTCATATGTACTAAACTGGTTTTTGCACTTCAGATCATCTTAAATACTAGAAGTGTGCAAGGGATGGATGTCCCAGGAAGTGAGAGAGGCTGGCTCATACCCAGCATCTCCATTTGACTAACAGGTCTTGAACATGACAGATTTAAGACAGAGGTCCTCATCTTTTCCTACCTCCTTCCCGAATGGGGCCCTACTATTGTCTTTCCCATCCTGGTTAATGACAACTTTTTTCCAGTTTTTTAGGCCTAATAACTGGAATCAAACTTGATTCCACTCTCCCACATTCCTATCCAATCCATTAGGGAATCCTGTCAACTCTATGACACCATATTCTTTCTACAGATTCTTTCTACATCCCCAGGCATCACCTGGTTCAAACAACCAACACCTTGCACCTGGATTATTGTTACAGCTCCCTAATTCGTACTCTACCTAATTGTGTCAGAGACAGAATTTTAGGTGGAAAACTCAAGATATAAATGCTTATATTTGAAATAAAAAAAGTCACCAACAATCCCAAAGCTTCAAAGACAACATCCAGTCACTGACAAATGAGATGGGTGCCATTGAGAAAGTAAAAAGATAACTCACAGACTGGTAGAAAATATATGCAAATCGCACATCTGATTATGGACTTGTACCTAGAATAAGGAACTATTAGTGACTCAATGACAAGACAGCATTAACCCAATTAAAAAACAGGTGAAGAATTTCTCCAAAAGAGCTATATGAATGGCCAATAAGCAAAAGAAAAAATGCTCGACATCACTGATTATTATGCACATGCAAATCAAACTACAATGAAATACTACCTCGTACCCACTAGAATGGCTATAATAAAAAAGACAATAATAAGCGCTGGTGAGGATGTGGAGAAATTGGAGCTTTTGTACACTGCTTTGTCCCAATTACTAGTGGGAATATAAAATGGTCTAGCCATTTGGAAAAGAATTTGGCATTTTCTCAAATGTCAAACATGCGTGACCACTGGACTCATCATTTCTACACACAGGAATCTACCCAAGAGAAATAATAACATACATCCACACAAAAACTTACACATGAATGTTTATAGCAGCATTATCGTAACAGTCAACAAGTGGAAACAACCTACATGTCCATCAAATGATGAATAAATAAAATGTGGTATATCTACACTATGACTTATTATCCGGTAATAAAAAGGAACGAGTGTCAATTCATTCTGCAACATAAGTGAACACTGAAAATGTTATGCTAAGAGAAACAAGCCAGATACAATAGCTCACATATTGTGTGATTTAATTTATATAAAACGTCCAGAATAAAGAAATCTATAGAGACAGAGTGTAGATTAATGGCTGCCTAGGGCTGGGGGTGGAAGAAGGATGAGAAGTGCCTGCTAACAGACACGGATTTCTTTTCAGGGTGATGGAAATGATCTAAAATTAGATTGTTGGGATGGTCGTACAATCCTAAATATACTCAAAACCACTGAAGTGTACACTTAAAGTGGGTAAAATATATGGTATATCACATATCTCAATAAAGCTGTTTTTTAAAAATTAGATCCTCAGACTAACAAGACTGTCAATGTGTCCAGTGAAAATTATCATAAGATCAGAGAGCCTTCATGAAACACAAGCAGCTCTCTTACGATTCATTAAACAAATACTTACTAAGTTCTATTACGTACCAGGGTACCTGTAAATTAGCAGAGGTGATGCCAGAGCCTAAGTTAATTTTAACAGGGTAGTTCTATGCCAAAGGGCAACACATACAGGCTTGACTGTGGCACCAACTCACTGTTCAATTACCTTCAAGGAGCATTCGACCATGACTCAAGGCCATCCAGACTTGAGAAGTGAGGGATTACTACATTTTACTTGACTACATTAAAATAAATATCTTCTTTGTAAGTCATCTGCTCTTTCATCTAATAATTATTAAAGGCTCTATCCATACAATGGATAGAGACCCTGAACTATTTAATTACACATCATAATTTACGTATTTATTTTTCAACTGAACCATACACAGAGGGCAGAAACTCTTTCTGGATACTGAATTGCTACTGGTAGGAAACAGACACCTACTGAGTAGGAGAAAAAGTAACAGGCTGGTGTGGCTGTGTGGGTTTCATAAACTCTGTATGTTGTTTTAACCAGCTGGCCGGGGAATGAAGTGGGAACAGGTAGTTCTTCAAAGAGAACATCCTTTACAGCAGTTGGTATTTGAAGAAGGGAATGCAAAGTATGTGTAAGTGGTCTGGATGTCATTTGTACAAGGAGCTTTATGTCCTCTGGTTGAGCACGGGGAAGTGGTTTATTTCCAGAATGAGATGTGGACTTTGGTAGCCACATGTCGGAGGAAGGCTGTCACAGTTCCTTAGAACATCAGAGGCAGAATGGTAGGAGGACAGTATTTTCATTTACTTTCTAAAAATCAATTCTTCACAAATTAGGGAGAGAAATAAAAAGATGAAAAATGACAGAAGAATAAATTTAAAAGATCAATGTGAGGCATATACATGTAACAAATATACAAAAAGTCACATAAAAAGGATCAGAATGACACAGAACTTTAAAGAAAAAAAAAGCAACACCTATAAATTATGAAAAAAACAATGTTCAACTCAAAATCCTATACTCAGCCAGCCTATCAATCAGAAAGTAAAATAAAGATAATTTCAAATATATAAGGACTCAAAGCATTTACCTCCTACATGACCTTTCTTAAGAAAGTCACTGAAAGATGAGCTCTAGCAAAATGAGAGAGTCTGTCAAGAGATCAGAAACAGCAAAACAAAGGAGAGCAGTAGAGGGGAGTTCTGAAGTAACAGCTGTTTCTACCGCAGACCTAAAGGTAGCCAGCCCAGACTGGAGCGGGAAAACGCAAAGCTCCAGAAACACACAAACAAAAAACCAAATGGAATTGA